TTTCATGGAGTGCCCACGAGTTCTTGTATTGTGAGAAAGGGAGAAAAGTACCTCTTTCTCTACCAGCTCTGTCTCATGCATAATGTTATAAACCTCGATCACGACAGCCCTCAGTCGTCATTTCTCCAAGCTAAAGAGTCCTAAGCGCTTTAGCCTTTCCTCATAGGGAAAGTGTTCCAACCCTTTTATCATTTGAGTTGCCCTTTTCTGCACTTTTTCCAAAGCTATAATATCCTTTTTAAGGTGTGGTGACCAGAACTGCACACAGTATTCCAAATGAGGTCTCACCATTGATTTATATAGGGGCATTATGATATTGGCTGATCTGTTTTCAATACCCTTCCTAATAATCCCCAGCATAGCATTGGCCTTCTTTATTGCAGTCACACACTGTCTCGACATTTTCAGTGAGTTATCTACTACAACTCCAAGATCTCTCTCTTGATCAGTCTCTGCCAGTTCAGACCCCATCAACGTGTATTTATATTTAGGATTTTTGGCTCCAATGTGCATCACCTTGCACTTGGCCACACTGAACCCCATTTGCCATGTTGACGCCCACTTGCCCATCCTTGACAGATCCCTTTGGAGTGCCTCACAATCCTCACTGGTTTTCACCACCCTGAACAACTTCGTATCATCCGCAAATTTAGCCACTTCACGGCTTACTCCCAACTCTAAATCATTAATGAACAAGTTAAAAAGCAGTGGACCAAGTACTGATCCCTGCGGTACCCCACTGCTTACCCCCCTCCACTGAGAGAACTGCCCATTTGTACTCACTCTATTTGTACTCTTCTATTAATTAGCCAGTTTTTGATCCATAAAAGGACTTGTCCTTCTATCCCATGATTTTTGAGCTTACTTAGGAGCCTTTGATGAGGAACTTTATCAAAAGCTTTCTGGAAGTCAAGGTAAACAATATCTATTGGATCCCCCTTGTCCACATGTTTGTTCACCCCCTCAAAGAACATTAACAGGTTAGTGAGACAAGATCTTCCCTTACAGAACCCATGCTGAGTCTGCCTCAATAGGTTTTGTTCATCTATGTGCCTACTAATTCTTCCCTTAATAATGGTTTCCACCAATTTACCCGGTATCGACGTCAGACTGACTGCCCTGTAAATTTCCCGAGAACTGAGAAGCTCTCTTGCTAGCCAAACACAAGGACACGGCCTGATCCATCCCCCCCGAAGCTGATGCCTGGCTGAACAAGGCCCGTTGGACCACTGCTTTTTAAAAATGAATAGAATGCTTCCAGGCAAGGTTTTACATGCTCAGAGCGTTCCCTGCTTCTCTGCTGACACGTGGTGCTCTAGGGTCTCTGGCCAAGGTTGCCCAAGAGATTCTCAAACCCAGAAATAAAAGACAAGAGCATCCTCACACGTGGGGACCACTTAGGGGGTGGGGCTAGTGCCATAGCCTGGCTCTCTTGCAGGGCGGTGGGACTTGTGTGCCCCACCCTCTTCCCTGCTAGTCGCAAGTGGCTCTCCTTCACAAGGAGTTCCAACTCCGCCCCAGTGGCTGCTTGGTTTCTCTTGTGGTGCTGGGCACAGCTGGCTTCTTGGGCTCTCCAGGGTGCCTCCTGGGGCTTTGCTCATTTTGACAAGCATGAGCCGGCAACGCAGCCGTTCTGAGGATGGAACTGGGGCGGCCCTAAGGGCAGCGAGCGTCTTGACCACCTGATGGACAGGTATGTCGATGAGGTGTTGAAGTGCTTCATGGGGCAAAGCGAATTCCTAACAGTTCGGTTCTTTTTGGTTGGATGGAGAAGAAAGAGAGACCACTGTCGAGGTGTGGCTTGCCTGCTGTTGTGTTCGAAGACACGAAGTTCAGCAAGTTCACACGGCCCGTTCTTCATGAGAGTGACATGAGAGCATTGCTCCTTGAAGGGACTGGGAGGTCAGCTGCCACAGTTCCTGTATTTCCTGTGGCCACACCAAGGCTCTGCAGCAGGGCCACACGCTGTAAAGAAATCTATCTATCTAAAATCTAATTTTCAGGGTTTGAGATGCTAAGAATTCGGCAGCGCTTAAATGAGATGAAGATTGCCATCGCTTACAAAGAAGCTGCAACTTGCAGGGTCATGCAGCCTCATTTTGTCTTGGGGCTATGCAGGAAAGGGAGGGAACATTTAATTCTTCAGTGCCCGCTGTCTCACTGTGCAAAATTTAACTGCCTGCCTTTTGTTAGCCTTTTTGAAAGAAAAATCGTCTCAGGTGCTTGAGCCTCTTTGCAGCTTGCCTATGAATTGTGTCCTCTTTTTTTTCATTGGCACCCAGTGCCCTGGCACAGCTAGCCTGGCTCCTGCGCAAGGCTGCCGTGAGCAGAAGGGCCGGTGGGAGCAAAGGGTGGCCTCTTGTGGGCGGGTGCAATGCTCCCTCTAAGCTGTGGAGTCTTGGGAGCAAAAATCTCACTTTGTGAGCGACTGGCATTAAAGTTGTGAGCAGGCAGGTGATTTGGCTGCTGCATAAATCAGTTTGCTCTGGGGCCCTCCTTCCTGAGCGAAGACAAACGTGTGAGCCGGAGGCTAAAAAACTGTGAGCTAGCTCACACTGACTCAGCTTAGAGGGAACACTGCACGGGTAAGCTGTATCTGCCCTATCCAGGCTGTGCATGGTCTGCCTCAGTGCCTGAAGCTGCAAGACCCGGTGGTGCTGTAGAGGCACGTGATGAATAGTCCTCCAGTAAGCGCTTTTGCAGGAATCCAGTTGGTGTGATTAGGAGCTGCAGAACAGCACATATTTATTTATTTATATTTATTTATGCTTTCGGTTTGTATCCCGCTCGAACCCCGAGGGGTGATGTTGTTAATGGGGATGTGCCACGGGTTGGGTTGTTCCAAATCTGCTGTGAATAAGGCGCCTCTCTCTCTTCTTTTTTTTTAATTTTAACAAATATTTTATTTATAACTTTGCAAAGATTAATACAAATATAACTGAGCGAGAACAATAATACAGCAACAATTGGCGAAATATAAAACAGTTCATCATACGGTATAGAACAAGTACATATATGTGTAAATAACTAATAACCATGTATTGCATAATGTCTTATATAACTACTACGTCTAGTAGTTTCCCTAGCAAGTTGTTCCAGTCATTATTAAAGAAGATGAGATGTTATCATCGTCTTGAATTCCTTGTAGAGTGAGAGAAGAGAAAAAAGGCAAAAATCAAAGAAAGGGTGAGAAAGATCCTGTAGAAAGGTAGAAAATAAACAATTATCTCTAGTAGAGCCTTAAGGAAAAAGTATAAACAAAGGCTTAAATCCATTTATGATATTGGGACCACTCAGGAGAGAGAAATTGTTGCCTAGACAGGTAGTCCAACACAGAGAACCATTTGTCAGCGAACGTATCCTGAATAAGGCGCCTCTCTTGTTCTGAAGCTGCTGCTTATCGTTGCCACGTGGTGTGTGTGTGGGGGGGCATCTTTTGATACTCCTTCTGTGGAAGAAGCCAGAGCGAATGCTGATTCTTCTTGTGATTTAAACAGAACTGGAATGGGATCTGGAGGTGCTGCTTTAAACTTTCAGCTGGTTTAACCACTGCAGATATTCTCACAAGGGATGGGGGGGGAGCACTGCTAAAAATCGTGTTGCTGCTGCTTAGCGTTTCTGAATATCTTAAGTGGGTGTGAATGGCACAGTGGCCACTGATCCCCTCTTGGATGCTGCTTAACTGAATAGACTCATTCTTCTTATTGTTTGGTGTAGTGGTTAAGTGCGCGGACTCTAATCTGGGAGAACCGGGTTTGATTCCCCACTCCTCCATTTGCAGCTGCTGGATGGCCATAGTTCTGTAGAGCTGTTCTCTCAAGAGCAGTTCTGGAAAGAGCTCTCTCAGCCCCACCTACCTCACAGGGTGTCTGTTGTGGGGAGGGGAAGGGAAAGGAGTCTATAAGCCGCTCTGAGACTCCGAGTGAAGGGCACAGGGTATAAATCCAATCTCTTCTTCCTCCTCCTTGTGTCCGTGGGCTCTCAGTGACAGTCCTGCGGCTGAGACTTAAACTCCTCTGAAACGCCCAGCCACTCATGGGAAAGTGATCCCCATCAGGCTCAAATGGGCTCACCTGATCCCCTTAGCGGGTCTTGAGAACAGGGGTCCCTGCCCAAGCAGGTTCATGAAGTATTCAGTGAAATACTACAAAATAAAAGTCCCATATAAAAGGCCCTTTTATAGCACTGACTGTGTTCAGCTCCACTCCCCCTAGCACCATCTTAACTAACCTTATTTCTTTTTTTAATGGTTGCTCTTTTTGTAGTCCCTTTTCTCCCCAGTGGGGACCCAAGCGGCTTACATCATTCTCCTCTTCTCCATTTTATCCTCATGAGGTAGGTTAGTCTAAGAGTGACTGGCCCCAGGTCACCCAGTGGAGCCTCCATGGCAGAGTGGGGATTTGAACCTGGGTCTCCCTGATGTTCTTCCAGTGCTCTGGCCTTTTTGAGCCCGTGGGCACCTCTGGAATGGTGAGAGGGGATGGCGGGTGCCAAATCCAAAAGGGTTTCTGCGGGAGGTGGAGCCAAACCCCAGTACCTTCCTCCTCACTTTGCATAAGAACCACAGAAGCAGAGTTAGAAAGGAAGGGAAGGAAGGAATCCTTGTGGGGGAGGAAGAGAAGGGGGGAAGTGAGCCCAGACGCCCAGCAGTCCTCCTGATCCCCCAGGGCAGCTGCTGGTGTGACCTTGGCCAGTCACAAGTTCTCTCAGAGCTGTTCTCTCAAGAGCAGTTTCTCTCAGAGCTCTCTCAGCCCCGCCTACCTCACAAGGTGCCTGTTGTGAGGAGGGGAAGGGAAAGGAGATTGTAAGCCGCCCCTGGGTGCCCCTAGCCGCCCCGAGTCTCCTTCGGGTAGTGAAGGGCGGGGGGTATAAATCCAGTGTCTTTTCTTCTTAGTTGGTTAGATCTGGAAGGCAATCTAGAAGTGGTGGCAGCGAAGCACTTAGAACAATGCAACCCCCCCCCTCCATGTGACGTCTCTTGTTTTGCCTCCTAGGTGTAATTGCTGAGGATACTCAAGATGGCTCTGCGCTTCCGCACCTTACTCCCTTTTGCCATACCTGGAGTGCTGGCACTCATTGGGTGGTGGTGGTTTTCATCGCGTAAAAAGGAGCGTACCAGCAATCACGGCAGACAAGACTTCGCCAGCTTGGAGGGATGCCGGATAGGCTCTAGGGAAGACCCAGCTCCTTGCTCTGGAGAAGACGCTCAGTCTGTACAAGCAGAGTGTTCTGCTGAAGCAGGATTGACTCCCAGCCGTTCACCACCCGTAAGGACAGCCTCTTCAGAGCAGGGAGCCCAGAGTTTTGGTCCCTCGGGAGACCTCCCAGTCCCAGCAGGAACAGCATCTGAATCCGACACAGTTAAGGACGACAGTAAGAAACTGGATATCGTGGTGGTGTCCCAAGGTGAGCACGGGTCTCCTGCAGAAGGGCCTTCCCTTCTTCTCCCAACGACCAACGACGCTACTGCTGGGGGCAAGCTGGATTCCAGTCAGGTCGGAAACCGGCTGCCATTGGCGGAAGTGCCTCGTTTGGAAGAGTCATTGGGGAACAGCTTGGAGAAGAAGAGGACTGCTGGAGACTTAAGCCTGGACGAAGAGGAAGTAGAGAAGATTGAGCAGGTGGCCATCCATATAATTTCTCAAGTCATCTTGGCGGCTACCGAGGAAGTGCTCTCCAGTTCAGTCAGTGACATGACTGACAGGCTTTGTCAAATGGCAGCCGGCCATATTGACAAACCGCTGGAAAAGGTGTCCTCAGGAGCTCTCAGCCAAGCGGAGTCCAGCAAGAATCACGACTGTGCCTCTGAGAAGAAGTTGACAGGGTCTGCTCCCCTGCTGGAAGAGAGAGCCCGCCATCCCACAACGTTCTCCAGCCATTTGACACACGGCCTCTTGGCCAACCCAGGTTGCAGCTGGCCCAGGGACTCCATGCGTGCCGAGCAGCCTGCCAGTGAGGCTGCCGTGGCCACAAACCATACGGAGGAGCTTAAAGACGTTCCTGTTGTGGCAGAAGTTTCTGGCTGCAGCACATGCCCTTCAGAAGATGCGGTCAGCAGAGAGGACCTTTTGAAAAATGGCTCTTCTTCCGTTTCGTGGCAACGGCTGGATTTGTCGAATGTGTCCACAGTCAAAGCCTCGGAGCACAGTTCTGTACCGAGCAAGAAACCGCCGTCCCCTGTGCTTCCTGAAAATAAGGTGCCCTACAGCAATGGAGTGCTGAGAGAGGACTGTTTGGACCTGCGGCACGAACAGCTGTGGCCAGCAGAAGTGGATGCTGACCACTCTGGAGGTAAGGGTCCTGTTCTTCCTTTCTGTGTCGAAATCATAGAGTTGGAAGGGGGGACCTCCAGGGTCATCTAGGCCAACTCTCTGCACAATGCAGGAAATTGACAACTACTTTCCCCTCCTGACATCCAGTGACCCCTGCTTCATGCCCAGAAGATGGCAAAACCCCCTCCAGAATCCCTGGCCGAATTGGCCTGGAGAACAATTGCTGCTTTCTGACCCCCAAGTGGCGATCGGCATGTCCCTGGGCGTGTAAGAAAAAGGGGCCACAAGAACTAAGCATGGAGGCAGCCCTCCCTGCCCTCCCGCCTCATGCTCTGCATCTGTTTGCTTTTCTCAGCAGGTTACGTTAAATAAGACTTTTGGTGGTCTCCTTTCTGGGATTAACTCAGGCCTCCAGTGTTGTAGGTTGTAGTAGACCATTTCCACTGTGCGTTTTGTATAATTAACTACTTGTTGAGGGGTGACACGGCAGCGCTTGTGCTCAGACACGGAGTGAGCGTTTCCTGGATACTATGAAGGAGAGGGACGCAGCAGAGGGGTGCAGTTCCCAGTGTCTTAATATGAAGCTGCTCAATATTCTGAGCGCTCATCTTTCTAGATTGGGGTCCCCAAGCTTTTTGAGTCTGTGGGCACCTTTGGAGTTCTGACAGAGGGTGGTGAGCGCAACCACAAAATGGCTGCCTGAGGAGGCAGAGCCAGGCTCAATATCAGGGAGTGAGGTCATGTGTAACTCTAACAGTAACTCTTCAGCATGTCTAGCATAATTTTTGTTTAACAGGATGCTTTTAAAATGGAATAGATTACTGTAAAATATTTTCTTGCATACATGGAGTTTACCATCAGTCGTGCAATGAAAACCCTTGAGCTGCAGTGGCAGTCTGCACGGCCAATCAGAAGCCTGGCTGGGCAAAAGCCCCGCATGACAGGCGCCGGGGAAGGTGCCAGTGGGTACCACATTATGGACTCCTGGCCAGTGTTCCCTCTAAGCTGAGTTAGTGTGAGCTAGCTCACAGTTTTTTAGCCTCCGGGTCACATATTTGTTTTTGTCTCGGCTCAGGAAGGACAGCTCCAGAGCAAGCTAATTTATGCAGTAGCCAAATTGCTTGCTCACAACTTTAACTCCAGGAGCTCACAAAGTAGAATTTTTGCTCACAAGATTCCACAGCTGAGAGGGGACATTGCTGCTGTCTTAGGTCAGTGTTGTCTGACTGATAGTGGCTTTCCAGGGTTTGGGGCAGAGAGTGCACCTGAGGCCCTTCAAGGAGAGGTGCTGAGGCATCCGTGTACAAAGCAGATGTCCTTCTGCTGAATTGTGGCTCCTCCCCGCTTCTCTGCTTCTGTTGTGTGGCTTGACCCATCTGTGGGCACTTTACTAGGTCCTTCATTTTACTTCCTGAGAATGTGGGCGTCTGTCAGACTTGTTCTGGGGGGAAAAAATAGCTTGCCTGTCCAGCATTATGCACACATTCTTTTACTTTCCAAGTCCCACCTGGTGCTCATTTTCCAAGTATGGAATAGTAGTGCCCAGAACTGCTTGCCGTCTCTTGCACCTGCCATGAACTCACAGGGCAGCCTTAGGTGAGCTGCTGTCTCTCTGCAATGTGGAGACAGGATTTTGACCTACTTTATATTGCTGTTGTTGTAAGGCCTTCGGCGACTGCGTGTCCCAACGACCTCTCCCAAGCTCTGTGAAGTTGGCGCTTTTGAGCACTTTCAACACTTGGCAAATCTGCACCAGTATTGTAGACAGCTCTGAACAAAAAGGCAAAACATTTTGGCCGCCAAGCCTGGCTTCTGTCTAGTATTTGAGCCCCTTGGCAGGTTTTTTGCAGGGGAGGGGTGACGTGGGACTGCAACAATTAAGTGCTGCAAAACCAGTTTGTAGTTTTAGCTTCAGCATAGCTGGCGGGCCGCTTCTGTCTGAATCGTTGCTGCTTCTGTTGTCCTCACCTGGATGGCCCAGGCTAGCCTGATCTCAAAACCTAAGCAGGGTCGGCCCTGGCTAGTACTTGGGTGGGAGGCCACCAAGGAAGGTCCAGGGTTGCTAGGCAGAGGTAGGCAATGGCACTCCACCTCTTTATGTCTTTTGTCCTGACCTGGATGGCCCAGGTTAGCCTGATCTTGGAATTTACGCATGGTGGGCCCTGGTTGGTACTTGGATGGGAGGCCACCAAAGGAGTCCACAGTAGCTATGCAGGCAATCACCAACCACCTCGGAATGTCTCTTGCCTTGAAAACCCCCATAAGGGGGCTCCATAAATCAGCTGTGACTTGACAACTCCTTCCACCACCAGAGTTGTACTTGGCTCCACTGTTGTTCAACTGGCGCCAAGCGGTGTTCCCTCTAAGCTGAGTTAGTGTGAGCTAGCTCACAGTTTTTTAGCCTCCAGCTCACACGTTTTTGTCTTAGCTCAGGGAGGATGCAGTAGCCAAATTGCTCGCTCACAATTTTAATGCCACTAGTTTGCAAAGTGGAATTTTTGCTCACAAGACTCCACAGCTTAGAGGGAGCATTGGCGCGAATGCACTGGGATCTCTGGAGGATGCCGAATCAGAAATGCCAGAATGTCCAAATGTTGCAAGTTCTTGAAGTGGAGTGAATGAGAAACTTTGCATGCGGCGGTTCCATTGACTACATCTGCCCTTTCATGAGCATCCAAGTTGACTTTCGTGGCCTGTCTTTGGGACTGTCCTTAGATGCTTTAAGGGTCTTTAAGTTGCCTCTCTGTAGCTGTTCAGTTGACGGCTGCTCAGATTGGTGTGTGCTCATTGGCACGTTTATTTACTTACTTAAAACTTTATTAGTCTCCTTTCTTCCTTTGGACAGACAAGACAGGGATCCCTGGCGTGTAATAGTAGAAAACAGCGGAAAAACGTCCAGGGAAGACCATCAAAGATGAAATGCACTTGAAATGTCTGAGTATAGGATATATTAAGTAACTGTTTAAATTACAAATAAATTTCTATAATGAGTTGGTGGTCCACAACCCAAAACAAATACAATATTCCCAAATATAAATCATATGTGTTCATGGCATATCATACTTCACCGTTAAGATACAGATAAACATCACAGTAGTTGCGCTCACAGGTGCTGATAACAAAGTATGCCCATAAATCCAACCCCTCAATTCTCCTTGCTTAAATGCAATAAAAGTGTCCGAAGACCAGAGGATGATCAGTGAAAAATCTCCTATAGCCGAACAACGCCTTTCCTAGGTATATAGACGTTTCCATTTCTCTTCTTCTGGATAAGCGGCTGAATAATGGAACAAGATTTCAAAGAGAATTACATAGACTACCAGTTCTTTTAGTTATATGGAATCTCAGGGATCCCATGAAATCAGGTCCCATTATTCAGCCGCTTATCTAGAGGAAGAGAAATGGAAACATCTATATACCTAGGAAAGGCGTTCAGCTATGGGAGATTTTTTGCCAGTCATCCTCTGGTTGATTTATGACTGCTGGAGGTCTTCGGATACTTTCATTGAATTTAAGCAAGGAGAATCCACCGGTTGGATTTATGTTCATACCTTGTTATCAGCGCCTGTGAGTGCAATTACTGTGATGATGTAGAAGTATGATATGCCATAAGTACATAATGATTATGGGGACACTGTATTTGTTTTGGGTTGTGGACCACCAATTCATTATAGACATTTATATGTAATTTAAACAGTTACTTAATATATTCTATACTCAGACATTTCAAGTGCGTTTAATCTTTGGTCTTCCCTGGATGCTTTTCTGCTGTTTTCTTCCTTATGGATCTCAAGTTTGCTTACAATACAGATAAAACACACATAAAATGCAATGTTTAAAATCACAACTCAGTATTTGCCAGCAGACTTAGCCGAATGTAGTCCTAGATAAAACTGCCTCTTAAAGACTACAAGTGAGGGGATTAGTTGGTGTGTGGTCCCCTTCACATATCCAAAGTGGGCAATGGGGCACGGGAGTCTGTGAGCATTAGACAATTCAGGTCTGGTCTGCCAGTGCAGCAGAACAAGTCGGGGAAATGGGCTGTAACATTTCATCTCCCCCCCCCCCTTTACATTCATCCCTGGAAGCAGGATGACTGGCACAGCCCTCTGCAGTGGTGCAGCCTCACACCCCCTGTTGTGGCCTTTGTGCTTGGATGTGGTAGTTGTGGCTGTTCAGTGTATTGGGGATGTGTGTGTGTGTTTCTCATTGACAAATGAGGCTGTGCTGCCTCCATATGCATTTGACCCCTGGATGGTAGAGCCATGCTTAGCTAGCATGCTAAAGTCTTTCCCCGCGGCACTAAGAAGCAAGGGTTTAGAAGGCCTCATGTCTGCTGGAGACTACCTCCCCGCTGATGGTGCCATTATTCTCCAGCCTGGCACGCCAAGGTTCTCCACCTTCAGTCAGCTCATAAGAGCCAGGCAAAGCTCCACTAGATGGACCAACGGTCTGACTCAGAAGGCAAGTTTGTACGTGATGGAGCCAGACACGAATCAGCAAAGATGGCAGGCCCATTCTCACCTAATTGGGCCCGTAGGGCCTTCTGTGAATCTACCAGGGATTTTTCCCAGCCCTGGCTAGAGAGGCGAGTCAAAGGCTTTTTAATCTGTGTGTACAGGCACTGTCCTGACCTGTCTGAGAAGACGTTTTATAGCATCCAACTTCATTGCTACAATCGCAGGCTAGAGCTAGCTTTTAAATCTATTTTACTTATTTTATTCCCTTTATAACCCAGCTTTCTCCCAATGGAGACCCAAGGTGGCTTACAGCCTTCTTCCTTTCTCCATTTTATTCTCACAATGACCCTGTGAGGTAGGCGAGGCTGAGGGTAGGACTGGCCCAGGGTTACCCAGCAAGCTGCCATGGTGGAGTGAGGGTTCAGACCTGGCTCTCCCTGATCTGGAGGGCCAGTTTGGTGTAGTGGTTAGTGAAGTGGTAATTGAGAGCCAGTGGTTAGTGTAGTGGTTAAGTGTGCGGACTCTAATTTGGGGGAACCGGGTTTGATTCCCCACTCCT